CATACAACGTTGGATGTTCTTATGTCTTCTCATACAACGTTGGATGTTCTTATGTCTTCTCATACAACGTTGGATGTTCTTATGTCTTCTCATACAACGTTGGATGTTCTTATGTCTTCTCATACAACGTTGGATGTTCTTATGTCTTCTCATACAACGTTGGATGTTCTTATGTCTTCTCATACAACGTTGGATGTTCTTATGTCTTCTCATACAACGTTGGATGTTCTTATGTCTTCTCATACAACGTTGGATGTTCTTATGTCTTCTCATACAACGTTGGATGTTCTTATGTCTTCTCATACAACGTTGGATGTTCTTATGTCTTCTCATACAACGTTGGATGTTCTTATGTCTTCTCATACAACGTTGGATGTTCTTATGTCTTCTCATACAACGTTGGATGTTCTTATGTCTTCTCATACAACGTTGGATGTTCTTATGTCTTCCCATAGAAAATAACATCAATATGAAGGAACTTTGGACTCTTGTTTCCCTAGTCTGGACCAATCACCTCTATACCTGGAATGCAGCTGGACGTGGCCCCTCCCCCTTCCTGGCCAATGCACCTCCAGGTCCTCCTAGTAATCTGGGATCTCCTCTGAGGGCTTTGCGAGATTTGACACTGACTGCAAAGCAACGAAGAAGCTCAACACAGAGTCAGTCCTGGGATGTGGGTGGGGGGTAAGTCTTGGCTTTGGGTGATCACATGATGTACCATGTGCCTTGACTCCTCCCCCTACAGAGAACATTCTCCAACAATCCCCAATCACACGATTCAGCAAATTGTCATTTAACTGAACTGGAAATCTCAGCAGATATTGGACTGCGTCTATACAAGAGGCCGGGCCCCAGGAAGTAATGAAGGCAATGAGGGGCCCAGGGATTGGACCCACCTGATCTATTGTGTTGAAGTCAGCTGAGAATCTGTTCAGAATACTTCCCAGTGGTGTCGTCTCGAAGAACCTGAAGAAGGAAAATCATGAAAATGTGACAGAAATGTTCTTCTCTCGGTGGGGATTTGTCATGTGACTTCTAACAGCCACTGGTGCCAGGAACTGGGAAGATACCTCACTGGTACCAGGAACTCGGAAGATACCTCACTGGTACTGGGAAGATATCTCACTGGTACCAGGAACTGAGAAGATACCTCACTGGTACCAGGAACTGGGAATATATCTCACTGGTACCAGGAACTGGGAAGATACCTCACTGGTACCAGGAACTGGGAAGATATCTCACTGGTACCAGGAACTGGGAGTATACATCACTGGTACCAGGAACTGGGAATATATCTCACTGGTACCAGGAACTGGGAGTATACCTCACTGGTACCAGGAACTGGGAATATATCTCACTGGTGCTGGGAATTAGGAATTTACCTCATCGGTGCCGGGAATTGGGAATTTACCTCACCGGTGCCGGGAATTGGGAATTTACCTCATCGGTGCCGGGAATTGGGAATTTACCTCATCGGTGCCGGGAATTGGGAATTTACCTCATCGGTGCCGGGAATTGGGAATTTACCTCATCGGAGTCGGGAACCGGGAATTTACCTCATCGGTGCCGGGAATTGGGAATTTACCTCACTAGTGCCGGGAATTTACCTCATCGGTGCCAGGATGATGGCATTTAGCAGACTGTTGTGCAGTTTCTTGGCGACTCGCAGTCCCGTCCATTCTATTGCTATGGAGGTGCACAGACACATGATAATGGCCAGGCAGGACAGGACACTGAACACCATGGAGTACGGAGAATGGTCAAAGCCGCAACTCTGCAGAGAAAGCAAAGACATCATCTGTCAGTGAATGTCAGTCCAACTCCTCCGTCAGTCCAACTCCTCCATACAACTCCTCCGTCAGTCCAACTCCTCCGTCAGTCCAACTCCTCCGTCAGTCCAACTCCTCCGTCAGTCCAACTCCTCCATACAACTCCTCCATCAGTCCAACTCCTCCGTCAGTCCAACTCCTCCATACAACTCCTCCGTCAGTCCAACTCCTCCATACAACTCCTCCATCAGTCCAACTCCTCCGTCAGTCCAACTCCTCCATACAACTCCTCCGTCAGTCCAACTCCTCCGTCAGTCCAACTCCTCCGTCAGTCCAACTCCTCCGTCAGTCCAACTCCTCCATACAACTCCTCCGTCAGTACAACTCCTCCGTCAGTCCAACTCCTCCGTCAGTCCAACTTCACCATCAGTCCAAAAAACATCAATTTATATCAGAATAATGAACACCAGTCATGTCTACTGACGTCACCTCCTTCTATACACACACAGATAAGGGCCCCTCGGAGGACCTCACCTGGCCCCCGGGACAGCTGGTCGCTGACATATTGGAAATGGCGTCCCAGGTCCACTTGGCCAGCCAGAAATCGATGGCGACCAGCAGAGAGTGTTTGAGTAGCTGTGAGAAGACGAGGACGGGAAGGAGGAGAATTCCGGCTGAACTCAGATATTTCCCACACGCCCTCCACGGCATCTTCGCCCTCTGATGTAGAACCGACGAGAGATTGTCATCATCATCCTCACTCTCTGACAACTCCTCTGTATAGAAACAAAGAGAATGAGAGGGAGATGATGTCAGTCGGTGAGGGAATGGTGGGATTGGGATGTCCCGGTGAGGGAATGGTGGGATTGGGATGTCCCGGTGAGGGAATGGTGGGATTGGGAGGTCCCGGTGAGGGAATGGTGGGATTGGGAGGTCCCGGTGTCGGTGAGGGAATGGTGAGGTTGGGATGTCCCGGTGTCGGTGAGGGAATGGTGGGGTTGGGATGTCCCGGTGTCGGTGAGGGAATGGTGGGATTGGGATGTCCCGGTGAGGGAATGGTGGGATTGGGATGTCCCGGTGTCGATGAGGGAATGGTGGGATTGGGATGTCCCGGTGTCGGTGAGGGATTGGTGGGATTGGGATATTTGCCGTGTTACCTTCATCCTCCTCATCGTCTCCCAGCATTTCCCGGGAGCACACGGCTCTCTTCCTCTCCGCCGGCGTCTTCTGCTCTATGATCTCCTGCAGCAAATAAAGATTCACAGGTCATCCTCTGCA